ACGTTTATTAATTGCATGCAGACTGTGATCCAGTCGAACCACACACTCAGCAAGTTGAGCGTAGTCTAAGTGCTCAGGACCCTATAAGATGACTTCTTTTCTCGTATTTTCTTCTATCTACTAACGAATTTTCAATGGCAACACATTTGAGTAATCCACGTGTTTTAAGACATCCTCATTTAATGCAAAACGTAAACGTGATTGTTTTGATTAACTCTACTCCTGTCATGCTAACCGTTAGTTAATCAGAACTATTAATGGCAGCAGATGTAAATCCAGTCAGACACAACCTCTACAAGTTTGAGCGGTAGCTCATAAGGTGTCGGCCTAAAGAAGATTGACTTCTGTTTCACTTCTTCTTCCTACTATGTTTAATACGAATTTTCAAAGTCAAAGCATTAGTAAAGCACGTTATTTAAAACGTTCCAGATTTGAGGGGCAAAAGTAAACTGATCGTGATGTGTTTAATATCCTCTACTCTGTCATGCCTATATTGTATTAATGGAGAAACATAAGTTATGCGGCATGCAGAATGTACCAGTCGATCCACACACTCATCGAAGTATTTGAGCAGTGAGCTCTAAGTGTCGGCCTATAGATGACTTCTGTTTTCTCTCTTTTCTTCAATTGTTAATACGAATTTTCAAATGGCAAACTATTAGTAATCCACGGTTTTTTAAACGTTCCCAATCTTGAAGGGCTATTAAATAAAGCAAGTATTATTCAGCTCACTATTTATTAATAAAGGGCTCAAATAAAAAAAAAACTAAACTCAGAAATCTCCTGATGGTTTTGGATAACTCCTACTTCCTGTCATGCTAACTCGTTTATTAGAATGAGAACTATTAGAATGGCATGCAGATGTAATGCCACGTCGACTCACACATCACGAAGCTTTGAGCGGATTACGAGCTCTAAGGTGTCGGCCTATAAAGATGACTTCTGGTTCCTCCTTTTCCTTACTATTGTTAATATCGGAATGAACGAATCTGTTTATAGATCTGACATTTCAGTACATCAGCGTCGATTTTAAACGTTCCATTTAAGGGCAAAAAGTAAACTACGGTGATGTTTTTGATAACTCTAGCTCCTGTATGCTAACCGTTTTGCTAATGAAACTAATTTATAGGCATGCACATGTAATCAGTCGAGCCACACACTCTACGGAAGTTTCAGCGGATAGACTCTAAGGTGGTGTCACGCTATAAGGTATGACTTCTGTTTCTCTCTTGTCTTTCAATTTAAACGATTTTCCAAATGGCGAAACATTAGTAGCCACTGTTTAATAACGTCAATTTAAGGGCAAAAGTAAGATCTCGTGATGTGTGTTGTTGGCATAACTCTACTCCTGTCATGCTAACCGTTTATTATGGAAGAAGTATATAATTGCATGTCAGATGTAATCCAGCTCGACGACACACTCAACGAAGTTTGAGCGTAGCTTAAGGTGTCGCCTATAGATGACTTCTGTTCAATCCTCTGTTTTTCTTCTTGTGTAATACGATTTTCAATTGCAAACATTATAATCCACGTGTTTTTTAAACATCTTATTTAGAAGGGCTGATCAGAAAGGTAAATCCCGCACGTGAATTTGTTTGGATAACTCTACTCTGTCATGCTAACCGGTATTATTAAATAGAACTACATTACATGGCATGTCAATTATCACGTTCGTCACCACACACTACGAGTTATAGCGTAGCTAAGGTGTCGGCCTATAGAAGATGACTTCTGTTCCTCTTCTTTTCTTCTATTGTTAATACGAATTGTTCCCATGTCAATAGTAATCCACGTGTTTTGTTAAAGTTCCAATTTAGGCGCAAAAGTGAAACTCGCTGATATGTGTTTTGATAACTCTACCGATCCATGCTAACCGTTTATTATATCGAGAAAACATTTAATGGCAGCAAGATGTAATCCAGTCGACCCACACACTACGAAGTTTGAGGCGTACGCTTTAGTGTAGCCTATTAAGATGACTTCTGTTTCATCTCTTTTCTTCAATTGTTTAATACGAATTTTCAATGAGCAACATTAGTAAATCCAGTGTTTTTAAACAGGTTCCAATTTAAGGGCTATAAATAAAAAAGCTATATGTTGAGGCCCTATATTAAATAAAGGCAAAATTAAAAAAAAATAAAAGGTAAACATCCGTGGATTTTTGATAATCTATCCTGTCATTGCTAACCGGTAATTATGAGAACTATTTAAGGCACAATGTATCAGTTGAACACACTCCAGAAGTTTGAGCGGTTTAGCTCTAAGGTGTCGACCTATAAAGATACTTTCGGTTTCCTCTTCTTTCTTCTATTGTTATATACGAATTTTTTCAAGGCATAGCATATAATATCCGCGTTTTTTTAAGCGGTTTTCCCAATTTTTAAGGGCCGCCCAATGTAAAACTGTTAGAATATTTGATAAACTCTGCACCCTGTATGTTAACTGTTTTATTATTGAAGAAGTATTACTGGCATACAATTGTAGTCCCATTCGACCACACACCGAATTAGAGGAAAGTTTATGGTCTCGCCTGTGAGATTTTTTTCATTCCCTCTGTTTTATACCATTGTTATTAAGATTTTTTAATTGCTTACATATGTAATCACGCGTTTTAGCTTCCATATTATAAGGCATCATAGTAAACTGCTGGATGTTTTATGAACTCTCACCCTTCATGGTTAACCTTTTATTCATAAGAACGTGATTTCTTTTCATACGAGGATCGTGCAGTTCCTCTCGACTACTACCTTGCGAAGTTATGAGAGCGCAAGCTCTAAGGTCTCCGGCTCCGGAGTTTGTTTGCTCGAAAATAGTTCTTCAGCACGAGCTTACTGTTGACATTGTGCCCTTTAGTAACGTTCGAAATTGAGGAATATCACTGAATGATATTCCGAAAACGGCACACTAGCGGATTTTCCGTTATGCTGCAAAAGCAGTTATTAATAGTACGTACGCGCCGTTAACGCAACGCCACTGTCAGCCAGCGCTCGTGTGACACGGCTAACCAATCCAGTATGACGTCAAAACGATATAGGTGTAATAGGAATTCTCTGTTCAATGGGCAATTGTTGTCATGCGCTGAGTGTCGTGCGTTTGTGGTTTGCAGCAGCAAAGGGCTGCGGCGCTGAGTCAGTTCGAATCCGCCGAGCGTCGCCGCTGGTTGCTGCAGCAACCATTAGATCATGCATCTTCCTCCACAACCTTATACTACCAAGTCTGTGTGTCTCTCTTCTCTCTGCCGTCTCCCCCCCGCGTGCCGCCTCCCCCACCGCTACCCCCAACCGCGATCGGCCCACTCCTCCCACCCCCACCGGGCCACGACCCCCGCTCGGCCCCCGCTTCCACCTTCGCCCTCCTATCGACCGGCCAGCTCCCTGCACGGCCTGGCCCTCCGGCGGCCCTCTTGGCTTGCTGACCTTGCGGCCGCGCCTCTCTCTCTTTCCGTCACGGCCACTCACGCTCGCCCTTTCGCCCCGCTAACCCCCCCCGCTAGTAACCGACGCCAGACCCCGGCCGCCACTTTACCAGTAAGAGCAGCGCGGCGAAGGGCCGTCTACGTTTCGATGTTGGGGGTCTCTAGACGCCTCCAACTCCGGTCACCTCATCCGACCTCCAAGACCCGCCTCCCCAGCATCAGCAATGTGCGTCAGCTCTCTCTCAACGCTCCCTCGCGGTACACACTCTAGGGAAGGTAAAAGGTTCAGGGTTGGGTGCCCTACCAGGGGAGCGGCAAGCGGCCGTTCAACTCGGTCATCATCACCTCCAAGCCCTTCAGCATCACGCAGGTAGGTCCTTCTCAACGCTCCCTCGCGGTACACACTCTAGGCACGCACCAGGGAAGGTAAAAGGTTCAGGGTTGGGCAAGCGGCCGCTCAACTCGGTCATCATCACCTCCAAGCCCTTCAGCATCACGCAGGTGGGTCCGCCCGCACGCTCGCATCTAGCTCCAGCTCAAGGTTGGGAAAGGGATCAGGGTTGAGACGCGGGTAAGCGTTCGCCGTCCGTTAAGGGATGGAACAGTTAAAGGTTAGGACGCGGTTAAGAAGTGGGTCACAATTAAGGGTTGGGACACTAGTTATGGCCTGGGGCGCGGTTAAAGCCTGTGGCACGGTTAAGGTCAGTACCACGGTTAAGAGTTAAGGTGCGTTTAAGGGTTCGTCTACGGTTAACGGTTAAGGTGCGTCTAAGGGTTGGGGCACGTTTAAGGGTTGAGGTGTGTTTGAGGGTTGGGAAACGGTTAAAGGTTAAGGATTGGGGAACGGTTAAGGGTTGAAACACTGGTAAGGGTTGGGGCACGGTTAAGAGTTGGGGCATGATTGACGCTAGGGACACGATTGGGGCTAGGGTCTCGGTTCAGAATAGGGCAAGACGGTTCATGTTTCGAACATTCTCATAAATTCGCGATAATTACTTGAAAACTCTAATCTCACTTTCAACTCCTTCACTTTCCTTGCTATGACACGCAGCATGGTTCTTATACATGTGTAATTTCATTTGTTTGTTTCTCTGGCTTTTTTTCCCACTTATTTGGAGACTGCAATCTTTGCTCTTTCTTTTACCTATCGAAACAGCCTTGCTGGTTTTTGTTTTTTCACTTTTGCACACATGCATATCCTTGTTTTTTATCTTTTCGCTTATCCACAAACTCATAGATTTGCTTGTTTTTTTCCACATACTTACGCATGCAGCTTTGTTATTTTTGTTTATGTTTCACTTATTCGCACTCTCGTAGCTTTGTTTTTTTCACTTTTTCATGCACGCATAGCGTTACTGTTTGTTGTTGTTTTTGTTATCTCACTTTTTCTTACAATGTCAACCTTGCTATTTTTGTTTTCTTCCTTATTGACACACGCATAATTTGTTTATTCATGAGCTCATAGTTTTTCTTTCAGTTAGTCACAGGCTTTTTCTTTTTTTCCACATTATTTGCACACTTGTAACCTTGCAGTTTCTTTCACTTATTCGCACACGTGAGCCGTGCAAGTTTTTTTTGTTGCTTCATGCACGTTGTAGCGCTGCTGTTCTTTTCGGCCACTCGTGAGGTGGCTGCGCCCCGCTTCGGTGTGCTTGAAGGCGTGCGGTGCCTGTTGCAGCAGCTGCAGGCGACGACGCCCGCGCCCTCGCCCTCGGAGGAGGCGCGCGCCAGCTCGTCCTCGCCCTCGCCCTCGCCGTCGGCCGCCGGCAGCGCGCAGGCGTGGCGCCGCGTCGCCTCCGCCACCACGCAGCGCCCGCAGGTCACGCTCTCCCTCCCGCAGTGAGTAGCCACGCCCACGCCGCTGACCTTCCGGGTTTTACGATTCCCGTAGAACCTCAAGTGAAATTTTCGAACAAGGGCACTAAATAACGGAGGGTTACTCCAACAATTGTAATAGTGCGCTCAACGTTCCTTAATGAGCTAGACGACGCGTTGCTACTCGACGCAACAATTAAAAACAAAAAACAAACAAAAACAAAAGCGTGCTTCTGTCCCAGATCAACGCAAGTTTTTGTTCACAAATTAAAATTGAAGTCAGTTTCAAACAACTCTACTGTTCAAACAGTAAAGTTATTGTTTGAATTCGTCACGTCTAAGCCGGATAGTTTTGGTTGTGTTCAAACGTTTAAAGGGACTCGAAAGGCGATTTTTTTTTTTTAAATCAATTTTCACTTTTTAGTGAATTGTTAATCATCAATACTTGTTCGTTGTCTCCCAGTATTTTTTAAATTAAATAATATAATGCGTGTAGACCTTGCGTGGTTGCCTAAGTGGAATTATCTCTTTTTCCAACTTTATGAGAGCAATAAGGGAACTTGGAGAGAAAACTATGGGAGAGAAATGGAGAAACAACTCAGATACACGTTAACATCAGTGGAGAAGACAAAAACAAAAAGAGTAAATGTCGAATGATACTGAAAATCCATCAAATGGACCTAGAATGTACTACAAATGCATAGCAGTACATTTGAAGCCTGTTTCCCGTGAGATTGTTTTTGGTTTATAAGTAACATTATTTCCTAAACTATTAGAGCAACTGACTTCAAACTTTTAGGCTTCCTTCATTAAGTCAAACTACAACTTTTATCATGGTATTTTATTATTTGTTATTACTTAAAACAATATTTTTATTATAATATTAAAAAATGTGGGTGTAAATATCCATATCTACATAAAAATTAAAATTTCTTGAAAATCTTATGATAAAACATTTAAAATACAGCCAAGAAACTACAGAAAAAATCAGTTATCTAATAGGTTTCAACAAAATATTCCTTGAATTTAACATTGTAGATATATGGCTACCCGGGTCCCCTTAAAATTTTAAAAACATTGCAAGTCACATAGAGCCTGGGTAACGGTTAATTCAAGTATAATCTTACTATGCACTTAATATTAATAATGACCCCAAAAGTATAGACATTTAATTTTCCATAAATTTGTACAAAAAAATGTTTGTACGCAACCAGAAAGGAAGTGTCTTTGACGTACTCATTTTAAAATGCCTGACTCGCCTTCTATCGTCACCTCATCAGTCAACATTTCATTCGTGTGCCAAAGGATGTCTTTCTGCATTCATTTTGTAAATTATTATTTCGGGCGTGAGTGTGTATTATATATTAAGAATGATTCCTAGAGTATATAAATCTAATTTTCCATGAATCTGTAGTAAAACAATTGTACACAACTAGTTTGAAAGACTATTTGGCGTACTGATTTTAAAACGCCTGACGCGCGTGGGTGTGTGTGGCAGGTACTCGATCGACTGCGCGGAGGGCCTGTCGTGCAGCGAGACGATCGCCGTGGACGCCGCCACGCAGCCGCCCACCTTCAAGCCCTACCCGCAGGATGTGCTGGACAAGTTCCTGCGCGACTTCGCCCACGCCCAGCGCCTCCCCGACCAGCACGCCAGGGTGCGTGGCCTGGCGCACTTTTACTTTACTTGCCATATTACTTTTACGTTACATGTTACATTACTTTTAATTTACTTGTTACTTTATGTTACTTCTCACATTATTTTTTACTTGGCACATTACTTTTACGTCTCTTGTCACGTTACTTTTACGTTACGTCTTACATTACATTTACGTTGCATGTCATATTACATTTACGTTACTTGTTACATTATGTTACATGTCGCATTACTTTTTCGTTACTTGGCGTATTACTTTTATGTTACCAGTTACGTTACGTTTTTAGTTAATAGCCACATTCACGTTACACCAACTCACGTTACGATTACGTCACATTTTACGAGCTCGTTAGTTAGCACGTAAAGTTACATCATATTATATTAGTATGTAAGATGACGTACGTTATTTGATAAAGTTATGTGAATTTGGAGTTTTAGCGCCACGAGTAAAGTAGTAAGGTTGAGCACTAACAGTCTTGTGACGGATTGAGACATAACGTTCTATCTTAAACGTAAGGCAAAACCTTAAACCTGGATAAATATTGCACGCCTCTGTGAGTCATACTGCCACCTTGAAACCGGAAAAAATTGCGCTATTTGATATTACGTAATGTGAGAATACGTTATTTGTGATTACGCTATGTCAAATTGGGTATTTGAAATTACGTTACGTGAGATTATTTTTTTGAGATTACGTTACGCGACATTGCTTTACGTGACATTACGTTAAGTGACATTACGTTACGTGAGATTACGTTATGTCAGATTAGGTTATGTGAGATTACGTTATGTGATATTACTTTATGTGAGATTACGTTATGTGAGATTACGTTATGTGAGATTACGTTATGTGAGATTATGATACATGGGATTACGTTATGTGAGATTACGATACATGGGATTACGTTAGTGATATTACGTTATGTGAGATTACGTTATGTGAGATTATGATACATGGGATTACGATATGTGAGATTACGATACATGGGATTACGTTAGTGATATTACGTTATGTGTTATTACGTGTTATTTCTTTAAGTGAGTTTACGTTACGTTATGTGTTATTATGTTATGTGGTATTACGTTGTGTGAGAGCACGTTATATTGTGGTTACGCTGTGTTGCAGCCGACGGAGGGGAGCGTGGAGCGCGCGACGAACCGCCTGGCCAACCTGTACCTGGAGCACGAGGGGGCGGCGGGGGCGGAGGGCGAGGCGGAGATCGAGGGGGAGGCGAGCGGGGAGGAGGAGGGGGAGGAGGAAGGCGGAGCGCGAGGGCGGGAGAGCAGGGCAAGTCGCGCTGCACCTGCTCTCGCGCAGCAACACCACCACCCCTATGACGACCGCGACGGCTGGTGTCGCTGGAGCCCGTTCCGTGGTCCACCAGCAAGGTGGCCAGTGGCACGCCACGCGCACCAAGCGGCCCCCACCACAAGCCGCCCAACAGGTACGGCGAGCGCGCCACAACCCGGCCACTATGCCGACAGAAAGTCGCGCCCACACCCGGCCACAGCTACACCACAGGCGCGCCACCGCACACCAGTCCACCTTGCTCAAACAACGCTCCAGCCCCAACCCCTGGCCACAGCTACACAGGCACGCCTAACCTCACTCAGGCACTAGCCAAAATCGCTCTAATGCCCCCACCCCGGCCACAGCTACACCACAGGCCGCGCCTACCTACCTCAGGGCACTACCACAGAACGGTCCCGCGCCCATCACCCCCAGCCACCAGCCCACAGAACGGTCGCGCCCACACCCCCGGCACCAGCCACAGAAAACGGTCCCGCGCTCCACCCGGCCAACAGCTTCACCACAGGCCGCCTAACTTCCTAGGGCCACTAGTCTAAACATCGCTTAACGCCCTCACCCGGCCCACTAGCCATCCACAGGGACGTCCCTACTTCCCTACTCTCACAACAGCCACTCTTCAGCTATGCTCGATCACCAGCTACCAACTGGCTCCTCTGCCATAGCCATATGGACACTACGCATAGCTCAGTCTACGCCCCCCACACGGCCAACTGGACTCCCCACAGGTACTACCACGCACTGACCACTACCACACCACAAAGGGACAACACTCTCCCCTATACCCCCACAACTGGCATCCCACCACACGTTAGCACACCTAGGGCACACAAGTGTCACACACCCTATACACTGACGGAACTGGCAACGTACACGTACCACAGCGAACACACCCACGCACGCTCTCATATTCCGACACTACCACACGACTTAGCAGTGGCCAGCGCATTACTTATTTACCAGCCACACCACAAGCATGTCTCTCCGCACTACTCCTGACCATAGCAACACTACAACGCATTCTCCGACTCAGAGCAACAAACCGCTTTTAAAGGAATACCTTCTTATCGATTACATCCGCAACACCGCTCGCTTCGACTACACACCAAGAGCACGCCGCCAAAAAAATTCCGACACTGGCTATTTTATAGTTCCCCACTTCCCATCTCTGTAGAGAGATACTATAAGAAGGGACCGCTGTGGTACCACTGCCTTGGCCTCTACCTGACACACACAAGTGAAGTTTATGTCGTGCACTAAAGTTTTGCCAGTACATTCGTTACAAGTGCTCACTTTTGCAAACGATTCAACAACTATCTCTTGCAATTTGGTCACTCGCATGCTTGACCCGATTTTGTTTCCCGACCAGCTCAAAAAGGGTCCCTTCTTAGAGTACTCATCTAATAGTTGATGTGATAGCCTGTTAGGTATAAAGGAGCATTATGCAAGGAGGGACCTCTGGCAGCTTACTTACGGCTTGGTTCTCGCAGGCCAATTTCAAATGCAGGTCAGTCCATGCACTAATTTTGCCATCGCGTTTCTTTTAGACCATTGTGAAATTATCATCCCCTGGCATGTTGTGTCCAAAGTGTCCTCTTCTGTGGCAACTTTTCTGTAGCTTGATGGTGTAGCCTGTTAGGTTGATAAGAGAGATACTGCAAGAAGGGAGCTCCTCTGGCAGCTGCCTTGACCAGTCAAAGCGGTCCCATCCTAAGAGCACTCCCTGCGCTGCGCAGTGCAGTCCCGCGCGCGACTGGGACAAGCCGCCCGCCCGTTGGGTGCGACCGTCTACGAGAGGACTACGAACCGCCGTCGCGCCGCTGCGCCCTGCCCTCAGCGCCCCGCCACCGCCCCGCCCCGACATCACCGGCCGTGGGACGCGCCCGCCACGACCTACGAGTTCCAAGAAGCCGCCTCACTGGCCCGGCGCCAGCCACGGCCGGACATCAATCACCGACACAAGGTGCCCGCCACCAGCTCTCTCCACCCCCGCCCCGCCCCAACCACCCCCACCACCACCACTTCCTCAACTTCCATCACCACAACCACCACCTCCACCAATTTCACTTCTACCACCACCACCACCACCAATTCCAACAGCACTTCCAACACCAACACCACCACCATTTCCAACAAAACCACCACTCCGCCCTTCTTTAAGATTACACGAAAGTCATTTTGCTGTATTCTTTTGTTTTTTCTAATAAACTACGCTCTCACGCCGTTAATATGCACATTTCCAGCAATTTGTATATAGTATTGCATTTGTGAGAAGAAGTGCTTCAAATAACTTCCAATGAAGTTTCTCGAAAACTCAAACCTTATCTGTGCAAAGAAAGCTTCAAATTCTACATTACCACTAACACTTAAAAGAGTCTCTTAAAACAGGCTCAAAATGTTTCATCGAAAATGTTTCATCGAAAATGTTCATATAAGACGAGGTTTTACTCTTCTTTAATATTCTTGAAGTAATATTTCGGTTTCATCATTAGAAATCCGACATATTGTGAATTTTTTAATGGTCTTTGAGTGGAAATAGATAGCAGCTAGGACGAGAGTGTGGCAAAAACAAAAACCTAGCCCAGACAAAAGAAATTAAGTAGTACGAGAAAGTGTGTGCTATCTGTTGCACCCTTAGCTAACAATAAAATACAAGAGGCGCTTCACTGAGCTACGTTGTGTGAATACTAATCAGCTATTTCGGGAATTATCCACATTAGGTATGTAGTATTAAATCTATTTTTGTTCTTGAGAGATAATTTTGTGCTCAGGCCCAACCGGTGGCCGGACAGCGGTGGCGGTGGCGGCGGCGGCGGTGGGGGCAACGGCGGCTACCGCCCCTGGGAGCACAAGAAGCCCCACTACGACTACAGCCACGGGGGCGGCGGCGGCGGCGGCGGCCTGCGCCCCAGCGGCGGGGGCGGCGGTTACGACTCGCACCGCCACCCGCCCTCGCACCCCGACGAGAGCGAGGGCCAGTGGGTGCTCGTCTCCAGCACCAAGGGGTGAGCCTGCGCACCACAGCCACACAACTCCCACGTTCACAACTATTTGTTCTTTTTCATAGCGAAAGTTCGGTTTGCGATTTTTGGGAAATCCCCGCTAGCCGACGGAAGGTAGTACCGGATCTCGCCATCCAGCGGGGGAAAATCAGTCACCTCACGAGAAAAAGCATGCACTACACTTACGGAATTAATGACCTTAGCAATTAACGCGCACGTATTCTCTGACAATGAATCAATCAACAGCTTATCGGGCTAGTGCAAGAATACATTTCTCCGTGTGATTCGGTCTTCGGCGATGTCTATTGTTTTAGAACCTAACAAAAAACCGTTTAATAGCCTGAACAGAATGTATTTTCTCCTTAGTCACTGGAGTCAATCTTCTCGGTTGCTAGCTGCCCCTTTTTGACACATTGAGTTTATACCAGCAAATTCGTAAACACTGTTTCTTTTCGTAATGTTGGCACCACACGTAACCCTTCAATCAACTTGTTCATGGTCACTGATATTCCTTAAAACGGAACACACTCTTCAGTTTTTCGCCTCGCATCTCTTTTATTTATTTCTGCATTTTTGTTCGGTCGTGATCAACTCTTTTGATGATGCTTGTGAAACAATTTATTCCCTGACTCGGAATTTTCTTGCTCCCATAGACTCTGTGTATCAAATTGCCACTTGAGTCGTTTTTGTCACAATTTAATTAAAATACCGTTCGCTGGAAAGAGAAGGCAAGTAGAAAGAAGTGGTAGAAGACTTCCCGGAAAGCTGAATGTAGTACTATAGGTCGGTCTAGTTAAATATTTTCTGTTCTCATCTTCCTATGATTCGCGAAGCTGGAAAAAACTCTAAATAAATAAAATTGCAGTGTCTGTGTCTTCAAAATTAGTTCCTTTTTTATAATCTCATACGCTTATGGTGATTATATAAAAATCAACGCAATTGTTTATGCGATTTTTGTCTGTCTCCGAAATAATCTCTGAAACGGGTGAATTTGTTTGTTAGTAGTAACCGACTAATAAATTATCTAATTAATATAATTATTATTAAAGATATTTTAATAATTAACTGTATTTAAAAACTCGTCAAAAATAATTTTCGGCAGAAAAATCGAATCAGACATATCGGAATTCCTGGTAAAAAAAGTAGATGCATCTTGTTCCTATGTAATAAATTACTTCCTTTCACATGTTTTATAGTCAAAATGCTTAATGTTTTGTGGGTCCTTGATATTCAAAAATCGTCTGATAGCTAAACGTCTATCTGTTCATATGTCCGTCTGGGATCAAGCTTAGCGCTTAACCTGTTCAGCCGATTTTCTGGAAAATTGAAATTCCCCAATCGATATGTCTGATATCGCGGTATCTTTTACTTGTTCGCACATAGTGTAAAATACTCTTTAAAATGGCACAGGTCTCATTTTCGTTTAAATCCCTAATTTTTGGAAAATTGCTTAAGTTGAAAACTTTTTTCAGCGTCTTCCTACCACTACAATAATGAAGATAGATTTTTTTCCGGAATGAAATCTGATCTTTAAAAGACATTTAAATTAATGTAAATGTATGTCAAATTACTCGAAAATTTGTGTAGTTTTCGCATAATTTTGCGTGAAATAGAGGCAATTTTTAAATATTATTTTCTCAAAAACTTTTAAATTTATTTCTCGTATGTATCAAAGATCATTAAAAAATTAACGCTAGTCCCCTTTCCGGAAAACTATATTTTCAAAAACTGAAAACAGGTAACATTTCCCAACTACAGATTTGAGGATAGGGATTTTTGTTTTAAACAAAATCTGTTCCAAAAATGAGATCTTTAAAAAAATCGTATATTTTTTTTTTAATCTTGTAGTTTTTTCGTGATATTTGCCTGAATTTAATAAAAATATTTCCTAAAAAACGTTTATTTTTTTAAATTTGCTTCACATATAGAACAAGGAACGCTTAAAAGAATGGCGCTGGTCCAATTTTCGTTGAACTCTCCGAATTTTTCCAAATTGCAAGATTAGAAAGTATGCGAGAAAGTGTGTGCTGTTGTTGTACCACTATCTTGATATTCTTGACATGTAAAGAACTGAATATACAGTAAATCCTCGTTAGCACGAACTTGCGTAAGACGAATTTTGCCGCTACACGAACAAAACTTCGGTTCCGAGATTCGTAATGTCCGTAATCCCGGCAGTGGACATTTATAATAATCGTATTGTAGGAAACCCCGGGCATTTGGCTGCCTTGGAGTTCGCGTGTAACCGTATGGCTGCAGAGGGCGTTGGCTGCAGCCTCTGCCTCTGCCGCGTGGTGCGTGGCGTGGCGGGCGGTGAGTGAGCGCCGCGAGTGAGCGCTGCAGCGGTGGTTTGCAGGTTCGCCGTGCCGCACCGCCACCGCATCTTCCAGCGCGCGCTGGCCATCAGCGCGAAGCCGCTGACGTCGCGGCGCACGGTGCGTCTGACGGTGCTGCCCGCGCTCAACGGCACCGCCAACACCACCATCTCCCACGGAGGGCTGCTCGAGGTACTTGCGCTTTGAGAGAGACGCGTTTTCGGCACGGGAATTCTTATTGCAGGGAACGGAAACGCTGGAAACGAAAAAGGGGATGAATCCAGTTAATAAATTTATAAAATAAAACCACTTTCACGTGCTGTAACCACATATCATGTTTTGTGGATCATTGATACTGAAAAGTCGAATGGTGGCAAAACTTCTGACTGTCTGTGAACAACGCTAGCGGCTAGACCGTTCAGCCGATTTTTTCCAAAGTTGATATTCCCCCAATCGATCTGGCTGATGTCGTGACCACTTGAATTTGAAACCGTTATTTTAATTTTAGGGGTATACTTTACATGAAGCCTGTGGGATATTTTCAAAATTTTCAAAAATATAGCCCCATCGTTTTTTAATATATTTTGCTATTGGATAGTGTGAATGACGTTTAAGATAATGATGCAGGTCTCAGGTTTGCCAAAAACAGTGATTTTTCAAATATTTCCAAAGATAAATGTTTTTCGGCGACTTCCTACAACTATAATTATGAAGAAAGGTATATTTTCCTTAATCAAATCTGCTCGTTAAAGATAGATTTTCAAATACGGTCAGGTACAATATTTAGAAAATTCAAGTATTTTTCGTGCAATTTTGCGTGAAAGTACGGGCCAGAAAGTACATGCAGTTTTAGCACCACGAGTTTTAAATGGCCGTAAATGCTGTGCAGTCCCGTACGGCAGACTTGTTATGGCTTACGCGACCCTCAAATGCGCACTTCCTAAACAATGAACTGTGAAAGTTGTATGCCAAGAATTATTAACATTTTTTGTTTACTACTAGTTTTTATACTACATTGCGGTACTTGTACAGCAAATACTTTGGCGTACGAATACCGCAAAATAACTCTTTCCGAACAGGTTCCGTGGAGGTTGTAGACTAAGAAAAAGTAAACATTTAATTCTTTGCGATACTCATATGCAGACTTTGGCGTACGCGTATCGCAAACTGACATTTTCCAAACAAACCGTAAATCCTCTAGGGAAATAAATAGTAAACATTTTTTGTTTACTGCTAATTTTTTGGTACACTTTGCGGTATCCATACAGCAAAACTTGGGGTATGCGTACTACAAAGTGACACTTCTCAAGCAATAAACCGTGAAGGTTGTTCTCTAAGATATGGTGAACATGTTTACTATTGTTTTTGTTGTTTTTTTACTTCTTCACAGTACCCGTGCAGCAAAGACTTTGACGTAAACGTACCGCAAAGTAACCCTTCCAAAACAATAAACCGTGGGGCTGTAGGCGAAGAGAAATGGAACGTTTGTTGTTTTACTTCTTTGCGGTGCCCGTACGGCAAAGACTTTGGCGTACGCGACCAACAGAGCGCGAAGGCCCTGTCCGTGCAGGTGGAGAGCACCTTCCAGTCGGTGGAGGAGGAGCAGCAGCAGCAGGAGCTGCAGCACCACCTGCAGCACCACCGCCCCGCGGCCCCCCACTACGTGCCGGTGCACGCGCCCTCCTACCGCCCCGTGCAGCACCAGCCGCCGCCCCCGCCGCCCTCGCTGCGCCCCACGCACAACGACGTGACGCCGCTCGTGGAGGTGAGCACACGGAGAGAGAAAGTGTGTGTGAGAGAGAGAGAGAGAGAGTGAGAGCGTGGGTGAGAGAGAAAAGAGAAACGGTTAGGCGTCTCAGGGCAACAGTTAGTGTCCCTGTAGAATTCAGACTCAGTCTGCAGGAGAATTCTAGCGACCGACTGCTATAATTGGTACTTTTCCGTGTTTTGTTCTATCAACATCAGACGAATGACTGAACAACACTAATGAACGGGCTAATAAGTGGCTAATGAATGACTAACAAACGGGCCACGGACCGCGCGCGGTCTTTCCTACCTCTTCTTTGCCCTATTTTCCCCCTTGATTACATACACACATACACTGCACTGCCACATTTGTCGGAAAGCCGTTCGGGTATTTAAAACATGACTCTGCTGGGCGGTGGCCCGCCGGGAGATACCAGGTAGGAGATAACCCCGATAGCTGTCGTGTGTGTCAATGGTGAGTCTCCTCATCCTGTGGGAGGGGAATGATCACCACCACCAGCTGAGGAAAGAATATGCACTTCACTTACAGGATTTATACCTTTAGCTCTTCAGGCGATCGCAAACAGTAAACGAGTGAGATTCAATGATGGATGTACAATATGTGTGTATAAGTTCATGAGTGGGAAAGTGTGTGTGTGTGTGTGTGTGTGTGTGAGCGCCTGTAGAACATGTGTGTGTAGGCGGTGAGTCCAAAAACGAGTGAGAGTGAATGATGTGCATGTGTGATTTCTTGAGTTGGAAAGTGTGTGAGCGTCCGATGCGTGTGTGCATAGGCGGTGCGCCCGAAGACCAGTGAGAGTGAATGGTGTGAGTTGAGTGGGAAGGCGTGTGAGCGCCTATAGATGACGTGTGTGTGCGCGCGCAGAGTGTGAGTATGTAGTTTGCGAAGCGAGGAATGGAAATGTGTGTGAGCGCATGTATGCTGTTGATGTCCGTAACATCCGATGCGACCGAAAGCGACTGAGAGAGAACGATGGGCATATGAAGTGCGTGGGCGCCCATGGATGCCGTGTGTGCGCGTGCGCAGGCGGTGCGGCCGAAGACGAGTGAGAGTGAATGATGTGCACATGTGAGTGGGGTGGTGTGCGTGGGCGCCCATGGATGCCGTGTGTGCGCGTGCGCAGGCGGTGCGTCCGAAGACGAGTGAGAGTGAATAATGTGCACATGTGAGTGGGGTTGTGTGTGCGTGGGCGCCCATGGATGCCGTGTGTGCGCGTGCGCAGGCGGTGCGGCCGAAGACGCGCGGGCTGCGCCTGGTGGCGCAGCAGGCGGCTCAGGACAGCAGCCGCGCGGTGCTGGCGGCGGTGGGCGCGGGGATGGTGCCGGCCACGCTGGCGCTCATGGCGCCCCTCGTGCTGGGCCGCCGCCGCCGCTCCCCGCCACCCCACGCCCCGCTCCACGCCCCGCTCCACGCGCCGCTCCCGCGCGCGCCTCTACACAGGCGCTCGACATCAGCTTGACGTAGACGGCGCGACACCACCTTTATAGTCGGCGCTTGATTCCAGCCCACTTAGACCGCTCGACATCGACTTTAAACAGGCGATTGACGCCGGCTCTACTTAGGGCGCTCGACATCGACTTTAAACAGGCGATTGACGCCGACTCTTCTTAGGGCGCTCGACATCGACTTTAAACAGGCGATTGACGCCGGCTCTACTTAGGGCGCTCGACACCGGTTTTGCCTAATGTGCTCGAAGACAGTTCTACGTAGGGTGCTCGACTCCAGCTTTATAGTCGGCGCTTGATTCCAGCTCTACTTAGAACGCTCGATATAAGCTCTAGTTAGGGAGATCGACATCGTCACATCACCAGGCTGTTCATTTGGCGTTCGACCGCACCATATCATATGGCGCTGGACGTCTGCTGCATGTGAGGCGCTCGACACCAACTCTACTTAGGGCACTTGACGCCAGCTCTGCGTAGAGCGATCGACACAGTTTCAACATGCGATGCTCTACACCGCCTCATTATCTGATTCACATTGGTCGCTTCACACAGGCTCAACACCAGCTCAATGCTGGCGCTACACCTCCTCAATACCGGCTAAGCTCTGCAAAGAGCCCGCGACACATGTTCTGCATACGATGCTCCACGCCACATCACCGGAGCCACATTGAGCGCTTCACACTGGCTCAACAACGCCACAAGGTCATCTCAACACCGGTTGAACGTAGGCTCAACACCGGTTCGACACTTGCCTAACGCTGTCTCAACACCTGTCCAACAGCAGCTCTACACTTACTCGCCCCGGTTCAACGACTGCTTGACGCCTCGTCATTATCGTTTCTACACCGGAACAGTAGTCGCTTATGATCACCTCAACGCCGTCTCAACTTCACGCCGGCTTAAATGGGATGCTAATTTCCACCTTAGCGTCCTTCTGCGCAGGTGCTCGCGATATGAATTCGGAGCGCTGGGCATGACTCGAAATGTGGCCCTCCACTCCGGCTCTCCCCACGGCGCTTGACACCGGCTCTACACGAGATGCTCGACATCAGCCTGGCAAATGACGCTCGACACCAACTCGTGATGTGGCACTCAACTCCATCTCAAGACGTGGGTCTCAATTCCACCTCAGAGCCTTCCACCCGGTCAGTGTGAATACTCGACACCAGCTCTGCATACGAAAGTCCGCACCGACTCTACTCGGGGTGCTCAACGGCGGCTCATCATGGTGATGACGCTCAACTTCGGGTCAACATTTGTCTCTGCACATTCCTGGAAACGCAACTTAGCACCGGTTCAACATATGATGCTTGACATTGAACTCAACAATGCGATACATGGCATCATCTCAGAATTGGGCATCAGCTGTCTGTGGTGTTCAACACTGGCTCAACTTCGGGTTCTCAACTTCTGGCCAAAACCAACTGACAATGTTGTGCACGACACCGGGTCAATATGTGGCGCTCAACACCCACCGACTGTAGCGACTCACACTGTCTCAACATGGATACTCAACACCAGCGTGTCATGTAGTGCTCAACCCCGAATCACCTCGTGGCACTCATCTGCTGCTGGGCGTGTTGAGTTAGACACCCATTAAATGTGTTCAACCCCACCTGTATCCTGTGCCGAACTCTGGCACTTCATGAGGCCTTCAAAGCGGCAGTGCAAGACAAGACAGACGAATCTGTGGCGCCCAACAAATTGCAATGGATGCCACATCGGCAAGGGTGCTAATACCTGGCCGACACGTAATGTTCAACATCGTCTCAGCATACGGCGCTCAACAGCAGCTCAACTTTAAAACACGCCCAAGTCCACATTGCGACCAATTGTTGCGTGAAACATAACTTGTGGGGGTTCAATGTAATGCTAAATTTATGAGGTTTTGCTAAAGTCTAAGCCTGTAATCAAGCGCTGCGTACACTCTAGCGCAGGCCACTCTGCCGTTTGCCAAGTGTAACTGAACGTGTTGCGCTCAAAATCTGATTCTCAACAGTTCAAAGTAAGAAGATTGGTGTAAAAATAGCTGAAGCAGTCACCTACGTAACAACGAGTTAACCCAGAAATGGATGAAGAAATAAAATTCCGGAACCAACCAAAGGTGCGAGTAGAATTTCACGTAAGAAAATGTGAGACAGATTGATAATCTCAGTTATTGTGTTAAGCGTATTTTGAGTGGTTCAAGTGGTATTTTTTTCGTCTTCTGGAGAAGTTTACCGTCAGAAAATGTGTGGAACGACACTATATGTGATATTTTAGAAGAGTTCTCCTTCTGTATTACAACTCTCTTGGCATCTGAAATTTGTGATGCTGAACACAATGGCAGAAAGAATTCCACAATGCCAATTCATCTATCCATGTGCAACGCATTGTTTTTAAATTAAGATGTAGGACACATGAAGTAGACAAAACGTGATTATGAGTTGTATTATATTCACTAAGATCCACTTTTTATTAGTGGCTGTTCTAAACATTGTTAATTTTTTATGGGTGTTACATTAATAAAATAAACAATACAGATTAATTCTGATTATTCATATTTCTGTGTTTATCAAAATTTGACATTCAAACAAAATTTAATGATATTCTGTTTATTCATAATTATAATTATTCATATTTGTTTGTTTGTTAAACTTTCATATTTATATACGTTTTATAAACCAAGAAATATGAATAAAGAGAATTAACTGTTTTTTATTATTGTTGTAAAATATTTTATGAAAGTTGGATCTGATGAAAATATTTAACAGTATTTAGAAATGACATTAATACAAACTGGAGCATATTAAATATAATTCAAATACAACTGATAGTAAAATCACAATGTGAGACATTTGAGGTTTAGATTGTAATATAAGTCTCGAGGCGTCATTGATGCTAAAGAACTTCTACAACGGATCCTCTGCTCTGCCTTTCTATGCATGTGATACTGTGAAATATTGTGTAATAAAGTAAAAATAGTAATTCTGCGGGTAACGTTATACGGTAATAACAGATAATTTCAGAAGTTAATTTCTTTTATATAATAGTCTAAAAGTGAACCCTGATAAGCTAAATGAATTTGCAATTAAGAGTTTGAAAAACCTCAAAACTTCTCGCTTCAGTTGTCAGGTTGACGGTCTTCCAGTATCGGCTAATCACCAGCAGTCCTATAGAGGATGATAAGAATTTCTTCATTACTCAAAGAATTAAGAAAGTAAATGTAAATGATGCACGTCGTGTTAATCCATTTAGTTACATTTTGCGTCTTTTCAGAGCTCTCAACTTCAATGAGAGATTCTTCTAATTAACTGAAAACGTTTATCCAGTGATTTAAAACATAATCTGGGAAGACGTTTGCGTCCGAGGTCTAGGAGTAAATGAACGTAATTGAAATTTGGGAATTACATTTACAAGAATATGGAAACTGGAAGAAAAATCATTTTGGTGCAATAATCAGTACAAATATAATTTTCATGCAGATTAAGAGGGAATAGTCTATTAACTCCATTTTAAATTTCAGGAAAATGAGATTTGAAGTTACCAACTAAAAGTTAACGAATTATATGG